GCACTCTTGAGAAGGCAAGGCTCCCCCAAGTCTCCCCTGTGGAGTGCTTCAGGAGATGGGGGCTGAGGAAGTCCAGAGCTAACAGATCTAAAGTGAGAAAGACACCACATTCCTCAGAACACACAGCCCAGAAGGTCACCATCTCAAAATACTCAGAGAAGCCAAGAATTCCCCCTGCAGGTGCAAGTGGGGGCCAGGAAGACAGTCCCAGAAGTAATCCTAAATTGATCGACCCCTGCCCTAGAAGACAGTGGCAGGGCTGGAGCCTAGCAGGAACGCTGGCCCAGAGAGTGGAGGCCCTGGCTCCATCATCCATGGCAGGAAGAAGAAGAAAACCACAGGGCGTGTTCTTGGCCTGATTTGTACACGGCAGCCACAGCACGGCATTCTAAAGTCCCTTTGCCACCCACAAGCCAACAGAATTAACCAATGTGCAAACAGGTAAAATTAGATGAAAAATAGGCACCAGGAGAGGTCTGGAGTACTCCACCGTCCCCTGAGCTACTCCACTTGTGGATCTTTCTGACCCACAGTCCGGCATCTAAATGGGAATAGTCCACACAGCTGGCCTGCAAATGCCCTCAGTGCCAGGAGCAGGTGGACAGAATGGCCAGGGGTCGGGATGAGAAAGGTGGACAGTGTGGAGGCCACACGCAGGAGGAGTGGTCATGAGGCCCAAACCCGATTCTCGGGTTGTCCCTGTACCAGCGGCCCAAGGACACCTGCCAGGGAAGGTGGGAGCAGGCGACATTAACCGCCAACCCTGCCACAATGCAGGCAGCGCGGGAACCCCGGTGAGGCTCACCTAAGCCACTCGGTCCGGAGGACTGGGACAGAGGACGTCTAACACAGATGGACGTGTAGCCCACGCAGCTCCACTGCAGAGCCAGGACTTCCCCAAGCTGCCCACACCGCTTAGAGATGACAAGAAGCACCATCCCCACCACAATGCCACTTCTTCAATGTTTCTCAGTTCTCCATAGGAAAAGGGACACTGATGACAGGAAACACTCACAACAACATTTTGAAGTTGATATTATCCCTACTTCTGCATAGACCATCCCAGGAACATGGCTAATGAGACAGAGAGGTTAAATGAGGTGCCCAAGGACACACAGTTCATGTGTGACTGAGCCAGTTTCCTAACTAAGGCAATTTCTTCTGGATATCAAGCTCTTAACCATGCAAACACACTGTCCCTCCTATCCCCAAGACTAGGGTCAAGAAAAGGTCCAGCTGTCTGCAAGATTAATATGCAGTGGCAAGATCCTATAAATATTTAAAGTAACCGCAATAGGCCGACTGGCATTCAATGAAATGAGAATTGGACAGAAGTTGAAGAACACGTGCCACAGAGAAAGAGGCCCCACACAGAGGTCTCCCAGAAACCATCCCAAACACCCAGAGAAAACAGACTTCAAGAGCCTACGGTCTTGCGCAATCATTTCTTTTTAAAGACGCTCTTTCCTGAGTTTCAGCAGCAGCTGGAGGATGTGCTGCTCAGCTGCTTTATTGTTTCACTGATTTGTCCCCAATCAGGGTTAGGCACCCTGACTCCTGGGGAGTACGCGTATTCCACCCATGGTCTCCATAAGTGATATTTGGCTTGGCAAAGAGCAACAGATTATTTAGCAAATTCAAACATCACTTTTTCCCCTATGGCACACTGAAAAAAAAAAAAAGTGCGATTTCCCACAAAAACTCAGGATATAATAATAACGGTCAGCTGAGCCAACGAAGCCCCCGCAGATGCCTGGCTCACGTCTGCTTCTGTCCTTGGTCCCCAGTGTTTGCAGTCTGCACTCTTCTGGCTCAGCCTCCCTCAGACTCTAGAGGGAGAGACGTGTCTAGACACTGTGGAACGGTGCTGTTGCCCTGGGACAGGGATCTGGAGCAACTTCAGGACCCCGTGTTCTGTGTGCACAGCAATAATGTGATTCCAAGCCGGCTGGGACAGTAAGAAGAGAGAGCCCCCGCCTTCCCTGACCGCCTACTTTAGAGGACATGACAATAAGACACACGACTTCATGTGAGCTTTCCGATAGTCATGAGGCAGGCAGAACTAGACAGAGGAGGAAAGGGAGACTCATCGCAGATACACAACCTGCCCAAGGTCGCTGACCTGTCCATACCACATTAACTGCAAAGAACCAGGACCCCCTGCCCGTGTCTTTGTCTCTTTGTGCAAGTGCACCACTACTGTGATCTATAAGCTTCATGACAGGGTCAGCTCTAACACTCCCCTGAGGACAGCTAGGGAAGGGACGATGGCAGGACAAGCAGCTGTGCTCTCATGCATGTCTGCACAGGAAGGAGAAGACCTTGCACAGGAAGGAGGGGACCGTGCTCCCACTCTCTACCGGGCAACAGGGAGCCAGACTGGTGGCCAAGCAGAACTGAACCCCTGGGCTCCCTCCTCTGCTGGACACTCGTTATCTGGCCCCACTTTTTACCAATGGCAAAAGTTCTGACAGGTATTTAAGCTGCACTGTGCATCAGGGGTGCCACTTAGTGGGAACCCCAAAACAGCATGAGCCAGATGAATGCAAGGCGCAGGCTTCTACCACATCCCCCAATTCCTCAGCTGTTGGCTCTGCTCGGATCGCTCACTCCGACATGCAACAGGTGTCCTCATGGTCTCATAAGCTGGTTGAGCCTGTGAGGAGACAGAATGGCTGAAGGGCTCAGGCATAGAATCCCAGCAGTTCAGGAGGCTGAGGCAGGAGGATCGCAAGTTCAAAGCCAGACTCAGCAATGTAGTGAGACGTTAAGCAACTCAGCAAACCCTGTCTTGAATTTTAAAAATTAAAAATAAAAAGGGGGGCTTGGAACATGGCTCAGTGATTAAGCACCCCTGGTTTTAATCCCTCAGTACCAAAAAAAAGAGAGAAAGATGAGTAATATTTTGGGGTAACAAGGACGAGGTTGAGTTCACCCAGTGTGCAGGGCCGTGACCGTCATGAAGGATGTCCTAAAGGGAGGCTGTCAGTCAGCTTTTCATCACTGTGATCAAAACACACAACAAGAATCAGTTAGAGGAGGAAAAGTTCATTTTGGTTCAGTCTACGGCTGGCCAGTTTTGTTGCCCTGGGCCCAGGGCGAGGCCAAATATCGTGGAGGAGGGCTTGGTAGAGGAAAGGTACTAGGGCCACGGCAGCCAGGAAGCAGAGAGTGGACAAGGAGCCAGAGAAAGGAATCCCGTCCAGGACACACCCAGCGACCTGCTTCCTCACTGCGGCTGCCTCCCAGCAGAGCACTCAGCCGCCCATGGACTGGTCCACCAAGGCCGAGAGCCCTCGGGATCTCACCACTGCCCATCACCTGGGCTTCAGAGGCATCCCAGGTGCAAACCTGTAAAAGTGGCCTCACCTGCATCTGAAAGCCAGTGTGTACAGGGGTGAGGGACACCCACACAGAGGCACCAACCGGCCACTCAGTATCCTAAGGTATTTTTAAACAGTTGAAAATCTGTGACATCAAAAATTTTGATCAGATAAGATTCAACATTTGATTTTTAAAGTAGCCCCACTACTCAGTATGACTTGGGACTTAAAACCTGTGAATTGTTTATTTCTGGAATTTTCCTTTTAATATTTTTGAACCATGATTGACTTTAGGTAACTCAAACTATACAAAGCAAAACCACACTGAGGTTGGGGGGATTCTGTACTGAAAAGAATTGAAAGTAGGGTCTTAAACAAATATTCGGACACTCACATTCACAACAGCCTCATTCACAGTGGCCAAAAGGTGGAAGCAACCAATCGACTATGGAGAGATGAATGGTGAATGAAATGTGGTGTGCACACAATGGAGTATTACTAGGCCTGAAAAAGGGATGAAGTTCTGATACATGCTACTACACAGGGACAGAGTTGGGGGACTTAACAGAGAAGTCAAATAGAGAGAGGAAGCAGAATGGCAGTTCCCAAGGACTAGGCGAGAGGGAAGAAGAAGTTAATGCATAAGTACTACTGAGCTGAAGCTTTGCAAGATGCAAAGCCTTCTGGAGATGGATGGTAGCAAAGGCTGCCCAGGATGTGAGTGTAAGTAGTTCACTGGACGACACACATGAAACTGTCAAGATGGCCAGTGAGTTACATGCAGCACCACAGTCAGAAAGAGCTGCCTTATAAGAAGTAACTCTTAAATCATCCGTTAGATCCAGCAACGTGCAATGGAGAGGTCTCAGGCAGTTTCAGAGAGGTGTGGAAAGTCAGAATGGCACAGGGTGCAGTCGGGGGAAGGTGGGGACAGCCACAGTCTCCACTCCCAGCAAGCATGGGCAGGAGAAGAGGTGCGGTCTGGTGGTCATGGATAAGGGAGGCTGATAGCTAAGGGAAGCTCTGGGGCAGGGTGGTGACCCTCAGGCTTGTCCAAGACGGAGGAAGGGGACGAAGCATGAGCTGACATGGCCCAGCCTGGATGGTCTTGAGGCGGGTGGTGAGGAGACCTGAGCTCTTCCTCCTGAGAGGAACAGTGTCACTGTGTGGACCTCAGTACGACCTCAGCGTGAGGAGCGGAGGAATGCAAGTCGTGTTCAAAAGGAAATGCTCAGGGTCAAGTGACAGTCGGGAGGGAAAAAGGACTTCCAACTCCAGGTGTGAGTTAAGGCGAGCACCTTTAGAAGGTGAGAGAATCCTAGACGCCAGCTCAGGGCAGGGGTGTGCCAGGTCCCAGCTGGAGTAGAGGAGGTCAGCGGGCATCAGAGGCACCCTGGCACACGGGAGGACGGGCAGCACAGACACCCTCCACCCACGGAAAGTCTTGGGGTCCCCTTGAATCTCATGTGACGTGGCCTTGCCCACAACCGTCAGGGCTCTGGGCCTTCCTGTTCCCTCCTCTGTGGCCAAGCTGGGAAACGGGCAGGTGTGCGTAGCTCCAAAGTTTTCCAACCCACTTCCAGGCCCTGGAGGGAGCCACGTGACTCTCAGCTTGAACCCACTTCCCCACAGAGCTAGAAGCTGTTCTCACTGTGGCTTCACAGGAAAAGGTCACAGCTAGGCATGGGAAAGATCCGTGTCCTCTGCGGGAGCCTGGGCTGCAGGGTCCCTCTCCCCGTCTCCAGGCAGGGATCCAGTTCTCACTACGCGCTGCTGGCTGGGCTGTGCTCCTGTGTAACCCTGGGCAGGTCCCAATCCAATCTGAGCTGCTGGAGCGAGTGTGACAGCTGGGCGGCAGAGAGTGCGGGACTCCGCAGCACTGGACGCCCCAGCGCCTGGAGAGCAGCTGGTGGTTCAGAGAGCATTCAAATGAGGGGGTCTGGGAGCTAACCCAGCATTTCCTGCTGGTCAACAGAAGCGTCCAGGCAGAAGCAGCGCCAGCCCTCCGCTAAGCCAGAGGAGCCGCTCGGGTGCTGACCCCATTTCTCCTACACAGACGCCACCGGCCCGGGGCTGGGAAAAGCGTAAGTAGTCTGTTAAGAGAATATCTTCGATTCCCACATACCCCGGCCTTCTCTAGAGTGCCTCGGTCTTTTTATTTGGTGGATGGAATGACAGACTTACAGGTGAGCTTGGACTTTTCCAAGTTCAAAGAATAAACTCACTCACTCTAGTTAGCCTTTCTCTGTACACAGACTTTTCATTTAAGGAAGCACGATTTTCTCTCAGAGGGCTCATGCATTAGGCACTAAGAAATTCCTTTTTAAAGGAAAAACCGTGCCGACCTATCCTAGGACACTGCCAGGTGCCTGTGGCTGAGGAGCGAAGGGTGAGTTCTGAGCCAACCAGCACAGGGGGGCCGGGACGCCTCCCAGAGCAGACTATAGCCAAGACCTTCCATGCTCCAGAAAGCAAGCACCGGAGAGGAGGCTTGGCCTAAGAGCAGGAAAGGCCACATTCCAACCAAAACTGAGACCAAGAGTGACAGCCTCCCACAGGAAGCCCGCATCCAGGGCGGGCAGCAGGCAGCAGGAGGCAGGCAGTGAGTGGCAAGCGGTGGGCAGCAGGTGGCAGGCGGTGGGCAGCGGGCAGCAGGTGGGATGCATTTTCCCTAGAAGAGGCCGGCTGGGCCGGGAGGGCACACAGGTGCTGCGCACGTTTTCACCACTGTCTTAGGTTTCAATTTCCATTTCCTTGTTCTTCTGATTTCTTACTCCGAGATTAACTGCAACTGAAATATCATGAATTTATTGTGTCTTCAGCTTTAATTTGCGGTGGGTACGACACAGAATATAAACTGTGAAGTTTGTTCTATTGCTTTCCTAAAAGCTGCACAGTACATCTGGAAGACTGTGATTCACAAATGTTTTTTTTTTAATTTTTTTTAGTTGTAGATGGACATAATGCCTTTATTTTATTTATTTATTTTTATGTGGTGCCGAGGATCGAACCCAGTGCCTCATACATGCTAGGCGAGCGCTCTACCACTGAGCCACAACCCCAGACCCTCACAAATGGTTTTAAAATGCTGAAATATCACTCATGCTTAGAATCCACCCTGGTTTACGTCCCAGCCCATCAACAGTCAGTCTCTCTACAGGCACACAGAGTTTTAGAAAACAGCCCCATTTTCTGGAGGAAGGGTAACATTATAACTGAAGAAACGTGGAAATGGAGAGAATAGTCCATCAAGTGCAGCACTCTGCCAAAACGAGAAATTTCAAAAAACACTAAGTTTAGTATTTAAAAAAAAAAAAAAAAAAAACTTTACTCTTTTCAATGAACAACTCTCTAGTGAGGAAAACACAACCTCTTAGGGCTTCTAGTTACTTAAAGACATCCTGCCAATGTCATGCATGTGTAAGTGCTGCTTACGACAAGTGAGCACAGGGCCTTTGCCCATCCCTGGGATCCAGCCCCTGTTCCCTCCACACAGCCCCGCTCAGTGTGGGGGAGCTGTTCCTCGGGTTTCCTCAACACGAGACATTTCACAAGTGGTTAGGAATCGACACACAGAATTGGGACTGCCCGAGAAAGAAAATGTCGAGTAAAAACATGTTTTGAAAAACAAACAAAATCTAGGTGGACCTGTTTTTTGCTATATCCCCTTTGATAATAATACAGGCATATATTTTTTCTATTTGCAATTTTATTAATAACTTTTAAACATCGCCATTAATCACTTGAAATTAAAATTTGGGGAGGTAAAAAAAAATGCCATATATCAGCAATTTTATGATTCTGCCTCTTGGCTAAGATCATGTGTAACAGGCAAAGGTTTATATAGTCTGGAAGGCAAACCAGAAGTCAAGGGGAGAAAAAACAACAATGATGTTTACATCACTTGCATGTGACAGGGATGTCCAGGAATGAGTGACAGTTCCAGGTGCTGAACCCCTTGGAAAGTGGGTTCTACCACTTCCCATAGATGCCAGAATCTCCCTGGGAGCTTCCCACAGCCAGGGGGCCTGGGAAGGACTGTCTTCTTGCCTCTGCTTCACCCACAGGAACCTGGCATCCAGGTGGGGTCAGGGGTTCAAACCGGGATGCCAGGTCCCATAAAGGACTAGGGCTTAAAAGTCACCTGGCTTCTAGAAATCCACCCTCCTTGTACCTCCCCCTCCCTGACCTGACCCAAGGGAGATGCAGCCAGTAAAGACCCTGTTTTACAGATAGAAGGAAAGCCAGGGGTGCAGGGGGCTGCAAGCTGAGTGTTTGCATAACAGTGCGGGAATCCTGCTGTATAAAACAGTCCGTGTTGTGTTCACAGAGGCACCTGGGCATGGTGGGAAAGGAGCAGCCTACAAACAGGGGCAGCCTGGGCAGCTGCCAACTGGCAGTGACCTTGAGCTAATCTTTTTATTTTCCTTTGAACTCTTTCACTGTTTGACCCTCTTCTGTCCCATCACCTACTAAAACAAAAACAAAAACAAAAAAAAAAAGTGAGGCTCCTGATGCCTGGCACCCAACAGCCACTCAGTAGAAACGGAATTTCCTCCATCCCTGGGAGTAGTATAGCGTTAAACTAGAGGCTACGCTGGCAAGAGTAGAACCCACGGGCAATTGCTCAAGCTGTAATCCAAGACTCAGGGGCCAAAAACAGAAATCACAAAAACCAGGGGAAACAGATACCACTCCAAATTTACCTCCTACCACACCTACAGAAAACCAGGCATCCTGCCAAAGCCTGGGAGTGAGCGGAGAGCAACACACGTCCACCCGGTGCCTGCGCCTCAGTCACCTACTCCCCACAACTGAGCCAGCCAGGGGTCGCCAGTCAGGGGGCCTGGAGGACAGGGTGAGGCCTGTGAGCTCCACTAGATCCCAAACCAGACTAGGAAAACTTGATACTTTGTTACATTGAATCTTTTAAAACGCTGGTTGCTTTGTCACAACATCCACACAAAACTTTCTAAGTCTAGACACTTTTGATTATAACACATCAAAACATGATATTAATATCATCACTGATATTTCAATCTCAGCATGAGAAAGCTAAAAAATTCACAGTGACACATACAGATTTTCAAAATTCTGTTGTCTGAAAAAAAAATTGAGTGAATGAGCTATGATCTGATCATTAAAAAATAAAATAAAACGCCATATGGTGACCAAAGTGACTAAACCGCAGCAACACTTAACACGGGTAACACCCGGGTGCCACACAGGCTGAGCATTTCGGGTCTGAAAACCAGAAACCCAAAACACTGGAACTGTCCCGAGGATTTTCAGACAAGGTGTGTTCCCCCAGGCCATCTCAGCAGGTGTTCAAGTCTCTGAAATCTGAAACATTTCTAGTCTCAAGGATTTGGGGGGAGGGGGGGATACTCAACCCGTTCATGTAAAACCTGCCTGCACAGGATGACGATTTGCACATCATCATGCTGACACCAACATCACAAAATACCAAGCCTAACAACTCCAGGAGGCATGGACAGGCACACAACACAAAGGCTCCTGTGAGATACACCTAGGTGTGACCATCGGTGTAAAGCAGGGAAGTGAAGCCTGATGGAGCAGGATTCAGGTCCTGTGGCAGGCATGAGGCAGGGACAGGGAGTGTGCTGCACAGGGGATTACGTGTTCCTGCTGAGGCTGAGGGCCCTGTCTTGATGGAGCCGAGAACAGGAGCAGAGAGTTCGGTTCTCACGAGGCCTATCTCTGGGGCAGGAAGGGGCAGGGTGAATGTGGGGAGAAGAGAAGGAAAAATGAAAACTAATATTATTTTAACCACAGAGACAGGAAAAACATGGCCATGGGGAGAGGTCAGAGAGCCCCAGGCAGGGAGGGTGGGGCTGGGTGCCGAGAGGAGCGAAGGCTACCCACGAAGGGACACTCAGGGACATCCATACCAGGCAGCCAGACAGGCCAGGGCTCCCAGCACCTCTGCCTGGTGAGTCTGTTTGCAAATCCAGCAGGGAACTCCAGCCTCTGCAGGGCCTGGACCCCTTGGCCCAGCCTGGCGGGACCCTGCATGCAGCACCGCCAGTTCACAGAGCCAACCCTTCTGTGAGTTATTGTTTCAGTGTAAAGACAAATACCTGCCCAGAGTTCTGCCAGCCACAGGGTGTCAGAAAAGAGGGCAGTTGGGAAGTCACTGCTTCTCATTGTGGACTTTAGTTCACAGGATCAAAACTACCCAAGTAGCTCAATAATCTGCTCCTGGCAGGAATCTTGGTCTATCTGCACCCAACTTCTGCTGGGAAGTGGGAAGTTGCAGTGCCTGAGGCGAGGAGGCACCCTGGCCTCCACCCCAGGTCCCCACCTACTCCACCCCACCTGGCACCCTGCATCTGCCCACTGGCTTCGTAAAACAGGAAGACTTATAGGTCATTCACAGGAATTTATCCAACATCTACTATGGGTTATTTACCAGGTGAGGAGAAATCATACAGCTCTTCTCTCCTGCAGCAGAAAGGACACAGTATTTCTAACTAGTCAAGGCACCAAAATGGCAGAGAGTCCCGCCCTCAATCCTATGGACAGCAAGTGTGATGCCTCAGCAGGTTATCCAGGCTCTGGACTATGCTTTATCAACTTTATCTTGACGTTGCTTCTGGTTTTCTTTGGTTTTTGTCTTTGTAACGCTGGGGTCTGAACTCAGGGCTTTGTGCATGCCAGGCAAGCATTCTACCACTGAGCTCCGCCCCCAGACCTGATTAGTCCCGCCTGGTCAGGAGTATTAGAGGATTTAAAAGTTCACAGCTAGAATTCATATGCATTGCAGAAAAAAAAATTCACTAGGTAAATAATGCTTTTTTCACCCATTCTCTTGTCAATGATCACTAAGGCTACTTCTCTATTTCTGCTACTACAAACAGTATTAAAATGAGTGCTCTTGTATCTACTGCCTGATATACATCAGCAAGAGTTTTCTACAGTAAATACCTAGAAGTTAAAATGCTCCCCTCGTGGGCAAATGTTCATCCTTACCAAGTATCCTAATTCATCCTCTGAAAGAGATGAAGTTCAGAAATCACTGCTGGGGGGTGGATTTTTCAGTCCTAAAGGGCTACTAGGAGCATGGGCAATGTTTACAAAGACAGGCAGGTGCACGTGGTTGACACCATTTAAAAGGGAGGAATGAGAAGTACAAAATTGAGGGCAGGGCTACCTCTGGGTGATGGATGGTGGGGAGTCCAGGAGAACAGGCGGGAGACAGGACATGCTGGCAGGGGCCCTGCTCTCGGAGCAATGCTGGTTCTCCTTATTGTGCTTTAGTTTATATTAAACAAAGTACTGATCATTCTACAGAAAGAATAAAACTATTTTTGTAAATGTAGTCAGCACTGAACCAGGCGCGGGGGCACACACCTGTGATCCCTGCTGCTTGGAAGGCAGAGGCAGGAGGATCACCAAGTTCAAAGCCAGCCTTGGCAACTTAGCAAGGCCCTAAGCAACTGAGCAAGACCCTTTCTCAAAGTAAAACATAAAAAGGGCTGCAGGGGGGGGGATGGAGGTGGGCCTCCAGCAGCACAGGGAGCTCTAGGCGGACAGGGACAATGTTTTCACTGCTCTGATCCCAGTGGCAAGTACCCACAGCTGGGCAGTCAGCATCAGAGGGATATTTGACAAAAATAAATGTCTCCTTTATAAATGAAGGTGTCAGGGCTGGGGTTGTGGCTCAGCAGTAGGGTGCTCGCCTAGCGTGTGTGAGACCCTGGGTTTGATCCATAGCACCACATAAAAAATAAATAAAAGATTTTTTAAATAGTTAAAAAAAATAAATAAATGAAGGTGTCATAATCTCCAGAGATTACTCTGGCTTAGAGCGTAGGAAGAGAAAAGAAGATGGTGGAGAAGAGAACAAGAAGCATCTGCTTTAAGATGACAGAGGAGCCCCCAGAGGTGACTGGGAAGGAGAGGTATGGAAAGTAGCAAAGGTGGCAGGAGACTGGCATTGGGCATCTGTCACGTTTCGGACAATGGGCTCAGGACCGTCCCTCAACACTAACAGATGTTAATACCACACGTGTACATACACATGTGCATGTGTGCTGCTGACACCCCCAAAGGACAGCACATAAGGTGGGGACACAGGCAATGGTGGCTCTTCCCTCCTTAACACTTCTGTACGCCTCTCCCGATAGTCTCCTGCTTAACTCGACTACTCACACTCCTGGGGAGAACAATATGGGTGAAGCAAGGGCACGTGGAGGCTATATGCAGATTCCCATACTGTCCCCACACAATTCCTACAGCTCCTCCCCCAGGCTACCTGCTCCATCACTGCCCTCTCCTCCTGACCTCTGAGGGAGGACTCCTCTCCATCCCATCATGCTTGTCTGTTTTTTATGACCTTGACTTTTAATTAAGAGTCCAGGCTGTTTGTTCTTCAGAATGTCCCACCTATGGACCGGTCTGCTTTCCCGGCCATGATCAGCCTTGCAGGGAAGCACAGGTGTGTTCTGCACACCTGGAGGTATAGGGTGCCAGGTCCCGACCATAACATGAGTTCAAAATTCCAGTGATGGGTGGAAGTTCCCACTCAAGATAATTTTTTCTTCATTATCCTGGAGGAGGTGAGAGTCTGTTCAGACCTCAGGATCCTGTGCGTCCACACCCATTCTCCCAGGGGCACTTGGCAGCCACTGAAGATGGTGCCTGAATCTGACATGGCACTGAGGGTGCAGGACAATGACATCCTAATCCTGCCTTCCTCTCTGCCCTTGCCAGCGGGCCCTCCCTCCATGTTTGGTCTCCACGCAGAACATCACTGTAATCCCTTGGATTTGGTTTGTTTTTACACTTACCTTCAGCTACTACTACTCTCACTCTTGTTGATGCTCAAACTGTCCCAAGCTTAGAAGTACCGTGGAGCCTCAGTCTGTCCTTACCAGTTTCCCATGGGTCCCCATGCTCCTCCTTGCTTCCTGCCCAAAGCTGGTTCGACCCACTTTACACTCTTCCCACGTCTGACTCTCCACGGGGCTCTGGTTCCTTGTGTGTCAATGATACTAAGACACAAGATGAGCATCTCTACGCGGGGCTACCCTGCTTCTCCATCTGCAGAGGGGTTTTACTTTTGCTATGTAAAGATGGAAAGACTTGAAAAAGTTTTAATAGCTGTGGGCGAGTAACCACTTCAGAGTCTATAGTTTTTTACTCATTTTAAGTAGGATGAAGGATGCTGAGCAGGATTATACCTTGAAGAGAAGTAGCCTCTAGATAGAGCGTGATACTGAAAATAATAAAAAAAGAATAACCTAAGAAGAAAGATTACAAGGAAACAGACGTAGTTTGCATGCCTCTGACCCCACATCACACACACACCCCTGCCCCCGTGGAATAAAACAAAACTGGTCCTGGCCTGTTTCCCGATGCCGGGTAAGTCACAAGCGTGACACCATAGTGCCAGAAGAGAGTCCTTGCCCTGGTTGGACACTACACCTGAGGCATCCAGCAGCTCCTGTGAGTCACAGCTAGACCTAGCATTTCCTTGACTGTTCTTACTGAAATCCATTGGAAGGGTGAGAGGACCACACGTGGACTGGTCTAAAAAGGACATGAGGTTCCACCATGGATCCCAGGCAGTGGACCCCAGAACTAGCAAAATGTCAGTCTGCGGTTTCAAACCTACTCTGAGCACCATGTTTAGGCTGAATGAAAACTCTTGCCACATTCAAGCTCTACCAGTTTCGACAGCAATCACCTTGTTCCACTGTCACGTGTTTAGAGAAACACAAAGGCTTTTCAGAATTGGCCGATTCGTATGCTAGTGTCACAATATGTTTTATTGAAATCAAAGGTTACTGCTCCTTCCAACAGGGATCCACACTCAGAGCAGAAAAGACAAACAGAGTATGCGGAAGGCCTTCTGTGCAGTGTTCCTGAACCGTTACGCTCTTTCCCTGTGGTTCTGTACTCCTGAATGCCAAACAAGTACACAGGTGGTGGCTATTGAGCTACTGAGTGAAAGCTATCTGCTGCCTCAGAAATGGAGATCTGTTCTCTTGCACTGCAAGAACTGTCCTTGGGCCGGTTCTAAGGATCCCAGTACTCCTGTCCAGCTGAGCAATACACTCGTGACCTGGGAGGCAGGAAGAGGTCAGAGAGCCACTTCCTTTCCTGGCCCCAGGGAAAACAGCCTCATGTTCTCAAGCAATGCTGCAGAGAATAGGCTGGGGAAATCAGTGCAGGAGGGCCTGGGCTGCTTCTCTCACCTCCTCTCTGAGGGCCGATTCCCGAGACTGGAATGCAGGGGTTTTCAGAAGCAAAGTCCCCCCCACCCACCACCAGAAAGCACCGCTGGGCCACACAGAAATTTAGAGCACTTCCAAACATCACTGTCGAGCAAAGAGTTTCTACGTTCCCACAGATTTTGCAACCTAATCAATAGTCATCAACACTGACAACCAGGAGCAAGTACAGGAAAACAGCAATAAACATGCTGAATATTTCAATCATGCAAGCTGAATTTTAAAAATAAGCATGGACACACTTCCCCAGTGAAAACAGTCTAGTGCTCATTTAACTTACTTAATTCTTCCTTTTATTTCTTCCTATAATACAGAATCCTAATGATGATACACCGTGGCCACTTCAAGAAGACAAGCGCTGGCTGGGCTGCATTGCTCTACTGAAGGAGACCTCCTTTATGCAAACAAATCAAAAAGGTAACAGAAAATGTGCCAAGGGTTATCAAGAGGATTGTTGATTTTGTCCAAATGTTAGGAAATATTTTGGGAATAATAAGGGGATCTTTCCTCTTATTCAGAGAAAGTGGATTTACACACAGGATTAGGTTGGTCAATGTGAGAGAGAGAAGCAGGCCACCAGGTTGCCAGACAAAAAAAAAGAAAAACAGGCCAGAGAGAAAACAAGAAACGAACCCAGAGCTGGCTGAGAGTGTTTTAGTAAGATGCATGTGTTTCTGGAGGGGGCAGTGCTCTGGGTAGGTACTATGTAAATCCCATGCAAAGAGCGAGCCCTGAGACTGCATGCCCTCTCCAACCTGAAAACCCAAAACAGCACAATCCTGGGACCCCACACTGCACCAAAGGCACTCAGGACCGGGGCACTCAGGGTCTGGATCAGGCTAAACCTTCTGTGTTGTAGCTAGGAAGGAAGGTGAGCGGGCAGGTGAGAGAAGGTGGGCGGGCAGGCGGACAGAAGGCGGGAGGAAATGGAGAGGGGACCTGTATGCTGCTCCCGTTACACCTGTCTTTGGGCCCCATAAACCCCACTTTCTCATATTTCATTATGTTCCAAAGCAGCAGCAGCAGCAGAGGTGAATCCCTGTGCCAGGCACTGGTTCTGGAGAGCTCCACCTAGGGAGGGTGAATACTTGAACCAGGCAGTCTCCCTTAAGAAGTCCAGCCATGTACAGAAACCTTTCTTAAACACCATGTCAGGGAGTTAGGAGGCACCTTCTGCGTTCCTGAGGCCTCCCAGGGAACCTAGAGGTCACTATCAAAGCAGAGCTCTACACAGTGGAAGCCCTTGCGGGCTCAGCCGAGGGCCTGGCCTTCTGCAGCTGCTCCCACCCCTCTCCTCTTGCCACCTGTGCTGCCAACTACCTCTCCTTCATAAGGGGGTGGGACAGGCTGGAGAGAACAGCACCTCTAAGGAGCAAGAGCAAGGGCAAAAGAACAGTGTCCCAAGAGAGTCTCTCCTTTTCTTTCTGATTCGTTTGGTTCTTGCTTATTTTTGCATGACTGTATAAAATCTGCACAGCACGGGACTATTCCCTGCATTTGTGAAATGCCTCTAAGTCTCAGTAGGTCCCTTCAGTGGGGGCTAATCATCTCTTGGAGACGAGGGGAGACTGCTCAGACATCACAAGGTCAAAGTGACGCAGTCTTTTCTATGATCCTGTCCTGTTTTTCAAGCAGTCATATTCCTGCATTTTGGCCTGAATATACACACGGCTTCACTTGCCGTGTCTGCCTTAGGAGGGCTCCTTTGTCGCTCATTTCTCCCTTGACCAGTGTCTGCGGCATACAGTGACAACTGGGACCACAGAGGGAGGGCCCTTACCATCAACACCACTGCTATAAGATGTCCCCAATGCTTCAAGATCAAGGTCATGATGGGGGTAGCTCATGGCTCATTTGGAGTATACCTTGAAGATGAGGCCATTTGCCCTTGCGTGAACTTCTGCCCTAGCAGAACAGACAGCAGCTTGGGCAGAAAGGCACCCTCCCCCAGCCAGCCTCGCCCCTACCCAGCGGGTCCCACACCCTTCCATCCTAAAACAGAGCCTCATCTGCAACTACTGCCAAAATAGCAAGACAGAGCTTGAGGAAAAGACCCACAGCTCCCTCCAGATCCTGGAGGCACACCTGGGTCAAGCCACCTCCACCACACTCACAGGGGGCGGGAGGCAGGTGTGTGCCAGGCATTGCCAGGATGGTATGTGCAGATTCTGGGCATTCTGAGGAGTCACAGAACAGCACCTGGCCACTAGGAGACCTTGCAACTCAAAAAGCCCTGAGTGCCAACCCCTGAGGAAAGGACTTCCTCCAGCTGTCTATGAAGGGGGAGTCGTGACTCTCCTGGAACAATTTATGGGAAATCCTTTACATTTTCTATACATAGTGGCTTCTAGAACATTTCTAAAAGGGAATAAAATGCATTTGGCTCTCATTAAATCATTTCTGGGAAATTCTTCACCGCTTCACTACACAATTATATTTTACATAGTTCACGTTTCTCCTCTTCAATATATGATGTGTAGTTTTCACTTGAGAATTAAATTCAAATGAATCCCATAAATACTGACTGGCTACCAGGAGTACTGCCCTAGATGATCCAGGGGATGGTGTCCCTAGCACTGAGACACCAAACCAGACTGGGAGCACAGAGCAGTGTACATTCTCTCAAGCTCTGTGAAACAGGCTTCTAGGTAAAAATGTACCTGACGGTCCGGGGATGCCTTACTTAGTTAACTGAAGGCCACAGTCACAGTGGACAGTTAAAAGTGGAAACCAGGGTCCTCCTCCCTTGGCATCTGAAGCATGATCTTAGGTTCGATGCTGAATGTCACCAAAAGCCCACTGCAACAGGTTTGGTCCTCAGTGTTGCCGAGGGAAGGAGATGGGACTTTCAAGAGGGGCCACCACAGTGGAAGTGGGAGACCTTGGTCATTGAGTACACGCCCTTGAGGGGGTAAAGGGGTTGAGAGAGTCCGGTCTCCCAACCAGCACTTTGTTACAGTAACAGAAAGCTGACTAACACAATACAAAGCAAGACCATATGCAGAAAAGCCACAGAAAATGGGCAGAGAAGCAAACCCATATGCTCTGAACTCAGCAAGGTGAGCCTAGAGGGAAGAGAAAGGCTAAACCCCGAGGAAAGTGTTTGAAGAAGTGAGTTAGTAATTTTTCTTTCACTGAAAGTCAACAGACTGGCAAAAATCAAATGGCTATAAATATTCCTACTTTTGCCATATGGCACACACACGGAAAAGACACATGGAAGACATTCTTATGAGGAAAGCAGCATAGAGGCTGGTGTGGACCTGCATTTTGGTGCAGAATGCAACTGAATTTCACGTTCCCAATTCCATCTGCCACACCTCCAGTGCTCCGTGTCCCACCTCCTTGGTTTGACTGGCACAGCACATCACACGCTGTGCATAAAGCATGAGGCCAGCCACCAGAAATATAGGATAGACAAGGCACACCTCTGGCCAATGGGAGCCACTGTCCTCTGCCCCCTCTCCCACGATGTTGGACTAGACGTAAATATCGTAAGAGTGGGATTTCATGTGTTGTATTCCCTGACTGCAGGCAACTAATATCTAATACCCTATTATCCCAAATATCATGCTAAGACATAATGACTAACAATGTCATGGTTTGAAAGCACATGTGCAGTGGAAGCAACACTCAGAAACAAAACAGCCAGAGAGCTGAGTGTGGGGCCAGGGGCTGGGCACAGAACTGTAGACATTGAGAAGGGACCCCACCCTGCCCATGCGAGGCTTGAGGGGTGATGCTCCCCAAGTGAGGTGACATCCATGCAGAGGGCTCAATGAAAGATCCAAGGGGATGGTGGACCTACAAGGAGGTCAAAGGACCCATGGGATAGAGGAGGCAGGGATGAGACCACCAGAGCCTTTGGTCTCCAGGTTACAGTCAGTGATGTGGGTCACCCAGAGGACATTTGCTCTGAGCACCAAATAACCATCTGAATAAACTCTTGTCTTCCCTGTGCTATAAATCAGTGCTTCCCACATCCATGAAGAAAATACAGGGTGCTACGACATGGGAAGCTTCTGGAGACACTTTTAAAAACATCACTGAGTTTCATATGTAGTTCTAAATTTTCTAGGAGCCACATACTCTAAAAAGTAAAATTAACTGAAATTAAAACAGCACATTATATTTAATAAAATAGATAATAAAAATTTAAAATATTAGATATTTTACATTTTTACCACTGAGTCTATAAAATCTAGTGTGCATTTGACATTTGCAGCCCATATCCACCTGTACTGCCCACAGTTTGGGAGTGCTCAATGGCCCTGAGCTATCATTATGGCTAACGGCCACCATACAAGACGGTACAGATCTGGAATGTTCTTTGGAAAAATTTTTTAGAATTTTTGTACAAATATTATCATCTACTCTCTTTGCTTAAAAGTTTATAAAAAAAAATACAATAAATATTTCAACAATAAAAAAACCCACAGAATTAGCTCAATTTTGAAAAGGTACCCATAATCATACATTAAAAATGCCAGTTAATCTTTGGATTTTATGTTTATAGGATACTATTTTATGTCTAAAATACACATAGGGTAGACTTTTTAAAAAAGATCTGTATCAGCTGAGTGCAGTGGCACACGTCTGTAATCCCAGCAGCTCAGGAGGCTGAGGCAGGAGGATTACAAGTTCAAAGTCAGCCTCAGCAAAAGCGAGGCACTAAGCAATTCAGTGAGACCCTGTCTCTAAATAAAATACAAAATAGGGCTGGGGATGTGGCTCAGTGGTCAAGCGGTCCTGATCAAGGTTCGATCCCCAGTACCTTCCCCCCGCCCAAAAAAGGTCTGTATCAACAATTCTAATATGTGATATTTGGACTCATTTTCACAAATCCATAACATTTATCTTTTAAAATATATAATATTTACGACCCAGATAGAGACCTAATACATTGAATAAGGAGCTATGAGCAAAATGAAAGACTGAGTCTGCTTTCCCAGTTAGTGCCTGGAAGACCACATGCAGGAGAACTTCCTAGAACGGTGGGGTCACCCTCGTTTTGGGAAACGCTGGTCTCCATATGACCCACAAGTTCTCACGCTGCTCAGCTTCCCCAGTTTTCCTCTACGATCATCAGAATGTTCTTTTCTTCCCTTTTTATTCCAGAAAGAAAGAAAGAAGGCACGAGGGGGCACCCGGTCAGGGGCTGGGCACAGGGGTGGTTCCAGAGCTGGGTGTGCCCACCCCCATGCCCTTGCTTTGTCCTTCGCGGGTGTGCAGGACTCCTAGAGTAACTCGTCACCTCTCTCCCAGGTGCTCTGCCTTCAGAGCCACAAGATGCTCAATTCCACGAGCTCGCCGCCGCCAGGCCTGCCCTGCTCCCGGAACACGCTCATCACCCAGTACATCATCCCGGTGCTGTACCTTCTGGTCTTCCTGGCAGGGGTCCTGCTCAACGGCGTGTCGGGCTGGGTCTTCCTCTACGTGCCCAGCTCCAAGAGTTTCATCATCTATCTCAAGAACATTGTGGTCGCTGACTTTCTGATGGGCCTGACCTTCCCCTTCAAGATCCTGGGGGACTCGGGTCTGGCCCCCTGGCAGCTGAGCGTGTTCGTGTGCAGGGTCTCGGCCGTGGTCTTCTATGTCAGCATGTACGTGGGCATCGTCTTCTTCGGGCTCATCAGCTTCGACAGGTACTACAAAATCGTGAAGCCCCTCCTGACCTCCTTCGTCCAGTCGGTGAGCTACAGCAAGCTGCTATCGGTAGCCGTGTGGGCGCTCATGCTGCTGCTGGCCGTTCCCAACATCATCCTGACCGACCAGCGCGTCCAGGAAGGCATGAGGGTGCAGTGCATGGAACTCAAGAACGAGCTAGGACGCAAGTGGCACAAGGCGTCCAACTACGTCTTCGTGGGCATCTTCTGGCTCGTGTTCCTCCTGCTGATTGTCTTCTACACTGCCATCACCAGGAAGATCTTCAAGTCCCACCTCAGCTCCAGAAGGAGATCCATCTCGGTCAAAAGGAAATCCAGCCGCAACATTTTCAGCATCGTGCTTGTGTTCTTTGTCTGTTTTGTGCCTTACCATGTGGCCCGGATCCCCTACACCATGAGTCAAACCGGAACCTACTACAGCTGCCAGGCGAAAGAGATCCTGCTCTACGTGAAAGAATTCACCCTGCTGCTCTCTGCTGCCAACGTGTGTCTGGACCCCGTTATTTATTTCTTCTTATGCCAGCCATTTAGGGAAATCTTATGTAAGAAACTGCACATCTCATTTCAAGCTCAGAATGACTCAGACCCTTGCAGAATCAAAAGGGGCAACACAATGCAGGAAAGCACAGACACACTGTGAACTTCCGGCCCTTCCCACTAGACCATTACAAGCTCGTGACCACCTCCAGCTGCCAGGAAATGAGCAAGAGCAAAGAACAAGCCACTTGCTCATCACTGGCAACAGACCCAGAATCACCTTCCAATACCGCCAGGACTTATGAAGCCCCAGAGGCTCAGTACAACGATCAAATTCAAATGTTTCCAAGCTTTTCTGTAACATTAAAGGGCGTGGGATCCCTTCTGCAGATTTTCCTAGTACTGACCATTATTTTTCTTGGAAAGAATAATACATAGAATCATTCAATCCTATTCCATCAAAATAGCAGGTTTAAATTTATATTAACTAACCTGAACAGTTAAAGTAGAATTTTAAATTGGTAAATAAAGAAAACAGAAAGAAATCCAAGACAATTCACATATGTGTCCTCTTTTTATATCAAGAATTAAGTCAGTAAGATATATGATCCTCGTCAGCAGCAATCTTAAAGACCAGCTTAAAAATAGGCAGAGTTTGACAAAGTCCTGTTTGAAGTGAAAAAGTCAAAGTTTTCTCTGATTTGAAGCAGAAAATCACTTAGGAAAACCCCTTATTTATTCAAGGCATTTCAAAGGAAAGCAGATATGAGTAACGCACCTGCAGTAAGATCATAATTTTTTCTAATGCAATTTTAAGGATAGTACATGTATGTTAAATATATCTTATAAAAGACCTATTAAGCCATTTAATGAGCTGGAGTTCTGGTATTAGACAATGTCTAAGATGACTCTACCAGCAAAGCCAGACCCAGGAGGTACTTTCAGCAACTCCCTCTGCTCCATAGTATGAGTGCAGATAGGACAATGGAAACACACACACACACACAAGAACATGACATAATTCTCTTGTAGGGTGGGGTGAGAGAGTTTCTTAGAAAGCAAATGGATTTGATAAAAAGAAGATCTAGCCAAGCATATAGTAGTGCATGCCTCCCAGCTACTCAGGAGGCTAAGGCAGGAGGAATGCAAGTCAGAGGCCCACCTCCACAACTTATCAAGACTCTGTCTCAAAATAAAAATCAAAGGGGCTGGGGATGGAGCCCAGCGGTAAAGCACCCCCTGGGTTCAAGGCCAGTACTAAGGAAATAAATAGGGAAAAAAGGAAGAAAATCTAAAATATAAAATAAGTACTGGCAGTTGACACATAACATGAACATTCACATATCACATTTTCTAGAAAAAAGATAAATGTGATACATGGAGATATGGAATACGGTTGCTGGTGTAACAGTTACCAAGGCACAATTTTTTTTCTGTTATTAACTGGCTAGAAGACATTCAGTCCATCCTTCAAAGAGTCTTCCCAAAGGTTTTTAGTGTTTGTATCTCTTTCATCCTTCACTATACCTGTATCAATAAATAAAATTATTTTCAATACTGTCAATTTTTTCTTAAAAATCATAGCACAAGGAGACACCCGCAGATCTCACAGTCAGGGGATTCTTGACATGCCCCCTTGCACAGGCTCCAGGGGTGAGTCACCTAAAGACTGAACATCCTATTTGTCACTGATATGTTTCAAACTAAGCAGGTCATGCTCAGGACCTCCTCATGGTTTAGGAAAAACCCAGAAAACAGATGCTGTTGAAGAGGAGCTGGGAAGTGCCCCCACCCATGTCAAGCCCCACCTCCCTGCCCACGCCTGCTCAGCCCACTGTGGCCCAAACGGACCACAATCCCTAGGCGGCGCAGACATCCCTGGTGGACAGGGCGTGTCCTGGCTTGGGCCAGTAAACTTGCTAAACAGTCTGGCTGTGCTTATTCTTCATGACTCCCCCTGACCAGAGCCCATGGGTGAATCCTAGGGTCTTAAATGTCCCCTTCTGGGCCACAGGAGAAAGTGAAAGCTCAAAGGAGAAGAGGAAGTGCTCGCCAAGGGTTGCTAGTGGCTTGCATCACCTCCTCAACGAGGTCTGTCCTTGGGAAAGTCACTCTTCCCTGAGGTGCCAAGGACTGCCTGCATGGTAAGCAGGACCCCGGAGCAGGCTGGTCACGCATGTGCAAGAGTGGTCAGGAAGCAGTGCACGGAGTAGATAAGGGTGCTCTGAGGCCACAGCAGAAGAGCAGCTCCTGTTCCAGCTTGTAGGCACAGAGCAACATCTGGAAACAAGGGTGCCCTGCCAGCAACGGGCAGCCGGGACCCCTGGGGTTAGCAGGATAGGGGCAGATGGACAGCAGGGCTCTCCCAGCTCCGCCATAGCTAGTGGGTGCACAAGCCCTCCTGCATTCAGGGTGCCCAATGCAGCAGGGGACGAGTTGCCTGTGAGGACAGAGAAGGCTGCAATGGGTGCAAGCCAAGAGCGGAAGCCAGGACGGCGGTGAGCTGAGAGCTGGCCCACCCCAGAGCAGACGTTCCTAGCTCCAGCCAGTCACTTCCTCATTCTCCACAGGAGATGTAAGACCACCCAGTTTTTTAACTGTTGGGCTAACAACTAAGAAAACGCACCCCTGGAACTGGCCATGCAAAGTGGGTAGCCACTCCGCAACATCTGAAATGTAGGAGCCCAAAGCAGCTTATGACTGCAACTAAACACCTCTCCTGACTAAAGAAAGAGCCCCCACTGTGTTACCTCAAGTGAGGTTTCCACATCGGTGCACAGTTAATTCAAGTACTGACACAAAAATGTTCTAAGCTGTTTCATAAAAAGAATATTTGGAATAAGAAGAATCAAGAAATGTCACAGAGAGGCCAGGAGGCGGAGTGAGCCGGGGTGGGGGGTGGGGGAACAGAGGGCGGAGAGCAAGAGCAGGGCTGGGAGCAGGGGGCAGAGAATCAGCATTGACAAGAGAGTGGGGGCTGAGAGCCAGGGGCCTGGCAGAGAGCAGGGGGCGGGGAATTTAAAGAAAAAGAAATAAGAAAAAAAAAAAGAAAGAAATGTCACAAAAAGATCACCATCATGTGAGATGGTGGCACATGGCATCTACCCACAGAGGCGGGTAGCAGCAGCAAGGCCACCAAAAGTCTCCTCTGCCCACCCCCTCTTTGCTCAGATGACACAAGTACATGTTCCTGTTGGGAAAGTCACACTTCCCTGTCCTGGTGATTAGCAGGTCTCGGTCCACTGACCACAGGTTGGGATGGCACAGGACTCAATGTGACCCAATGACAGCGAGGCCCAGGCTATGGAGAAACTTCTGGAAGGGATACCATATACATGTAAAACCCAGAAGTGCACCCTTCACTTGGGCACCCCACGGACAGAGCTCGGGCGTCCTCTGAATGAAAAGAGTCAGGACAGCTGCAGAAATGGCACAGTGTGAGACCATGTCCACCCTGGCCTACAGCCATGGTCCCCAGCTCTGGGCATGCCAGCCAGTAAGACGTACTGCACATGCTTGATTTCCCTTATGGTAGGGAAGGGACACCAATCAATTGGAAAATCTCGATACACTGGCTTCATCTTAAAGAATGATCTGGAAAACATGCTCATACCAAGCTTTGCTCCTCCTTATATCAGTGAGGTCCGTCATTTCTGTATTCTGTCTTTAACCTGTGCCCGCCACCTGATCTTTTTACCCAACTTTGGAGACAAAAACTTTCTATAAGTACAAAAATGCCTATAACACTAAAGAGCACGGACATATTACCACACAGAGTATTGTCTGCAGAGGGGATCGGGGTGCCTGGAGCTGCTGACCTGCATGCAGGGCCTGCACTATGGCCTGGGGGAGCTGTACTATGCGGTGCTCAGCAGAAGAGCCACCACTTCCCTTTGGTCACCTGTTCTCCGTAAGACTCGAGTGGTATGCAGATGACCATTTCAAGTCAGGCCATCGCCCCAAAAAGAACCACTTGAGTGGAATATGGCTCTCTTTCCCCTGCAGTTTGCAAGGAGGTTTAACCTCTTCGTAGCACCACTTGTACCCAAGAATTAAATGTCATACTGATTTATCTGCCATAAATTCATAATGTAAATGTTATTTATAAAATAATTACAGAAAAGACTTGTTTACACAAAATAAGGTGTTTTCCAAAGCAGTTTGGGGTCTTATAGGGACTACATTCCCACCTCTGCATTTCCAACAGAAATTTTAGGACAAGCACAGAGGAAGTGGGGGGTGTCTTGGAAGAATGGCACTATCTGATCAACAGGAAAACACAGGATGAGCATTCCCTTGAGCGAGCCTGCAGACTCCCGGGGCTTTTCCTCACTGCCAGGATTACTTGCTGCTCCTTGAAGGGGCTCATGGTAAGATTCTGAGGCTCCTCCCAGGTTCACAGACAGCTGATGTCTTCCTCCCAAGCCTCCTCTCCCCACTTCCACACACCGCCTCAAATGCCTTCAGGATCTGCAATGTAGGACTTTAGACAAGGGGTAACCTTGTGCTATTATCCTCTCCAGGATCCTCAGCCTAACTCTCCCAGTGTAAGTCAGGCAGGCCCTGGGCGGTACATTCCCCTCTCCCACAGTCCTCTGCATTTGACGGCTGCTAAACCTCCCCAGAAGTTCATGGCAAAGTCCTAAGGAAGAGCTCACTGTCCTATTATTCCAGCTCCTGACAAAAAAAAAAAAAAAAAAAGGACACCAAGAAAAGTGGCTGGCATGGGCTCTGTACGGTTCATGTCCCTTGACATCACTGCATGCTCCCTGTCGAAGCCAACAGTCTCCATGGCTGACCCAGAGGGTGTAGGATGTTAACTATTCTGTTTATGCTAAACTTTCGGCTTTAGGAAGGACTATCAGTTCCTTCTGAGGCTTGGGACTGAAAGGATAAGCCAATCCTCACATTATTTGTAAAGTAAAAGACAATTTCAAACCACATCAAATCCACCTGCTCATTAACAAGAACATGCAGTCACCTAGAAAGTTCTGAATCACATGACCAACTGTGTTTTTTGGTCTGGTTGATATTACAAATATCAGAGGAGAACACATTTTTAAATAAGAAAACCAGAGACACAATCACTGATGTTCAAAATGAGAGATCCTTAATCAGAAAATCTTGGCCGATGACCTACAAAATGCTACGAGGATTATTTAATATCTACTGAAAATGAGCAGAATAAAGACCAATCTATGCCATAGCCAACAATGTGGTGGTTTTCCTTGTAAGCCAGGAAACCACACTGGCTTTCCTCCCTGCCCCCACCTCTGACCCTGGGGCCTGGACTCCCACGGCTCTGCTCATACCACTGGGTGACTTCACCTCTGCGGAGATTCCCAGCAACACAGCCCTCCCCCATGACTTCAGACCCTCCTGGCCTCTCACCCAACAGGACTACAATCTTCCCAAGTGGCTTCCTGTCTTCTAGCGTCTCCTGACCCAGCGGGCTCCCATAGCTTGCTAATTACAGTCCTTGGGAACATCCAAGATGGGGTCTCAGCCCCTTCCTCTAATAGATCCTGTAATGCCACCCAGATCACAGGAGATTGGGGACCTGAAGCTCTGGACCTCAGTTCTTGGGTCCCGACAAAAGAAAATGTAAAGTCAGGCCAAAAAGTCAAGCCAGAGACTCTTGTTATGACTGAAAGTGATGTAAGGCTCAAGCAGAGAGCCTGAGCTGCCTCCAGCAGAGAACCACAAACACTGCTGCTGCCACGCCCACTGCTGTCCATGGTCTGCAGTCCTCACCATCAGATGTGGCTCAGTGGTAATGTGCCCCTGAGCTCCATCCTCAAGACCCCCCCACACACCAAAAAAAATAATAATAATAAAAATAAAACTACTCTACCTAATCACATGAGTCACCCTCGTATCTGAAGCCACGCATCTCAGGTAGCATTAGGAAACAGTGAGCTAATCTGAATGGGTAAGGAAAGTACATGCTTAAAGAAAATCTTCCATACTTTAAGCATAGCAACCCAGACAAAGGGCAGACGTGGAGACATGGCGGCTGCTCCAGAGGTCATGGACCATAAAAATCTTCCTGCACATTATTTTGAGCCGAGCTCACATTCCAGAGGATGCAACTCCATGAGGAAGGTGGGAAGAGTGGTATTGACATTCCCATGGTCATAACACTAAGCAGGGGACCTGGACTGACCTGAGGCCTACTTAATGACCACTGTCTGTCCCCACCCAGCTCTTTCCCAATAAACAAGAGTAAGTGAGATAGAGTGCTGATTCTAGCTGGGTGGTGTTGGGCAGGTCTTAATTTCTCCACGCCTCAGCTTTCCCATCTGTAGAGGGTGGAATCTCCCAGGCCTCATGGATGGTTTTCTTGTTTTTAAGAAAATAAGCCAGACACAGTGGCTCTATCATCCTAGAGACTCAGGAGACTGAGGCAGGAGGAGCGTCAAGTTCAAAGCTGGCCTCAGCAACTTAGTGAGACCCTGTCTAAAAATAAAACACAAAAAGGGCTAGGAATGTGGCTCAGTAGTATAGTGTCCCTGGGTTCAATCCCCAAAAATAGAAAGAAAAGTTCCCAGACCTATTCCTGGC